TTTTTTATATTTATTTATTTTTTTAGTTTTCGGCGGACACAACATCTTTGTTGGTATGTGGTGCTGAGGATCGAACCCTAGGCCACACGCATGCCAGGCGAGTGCGCTACCACTTGAGCCACATCCCCAGCCCTATTTTTTTTTTAAAGAGAGAGTGAGAGAGAGAGAGAGAATTTTTTTAATATTTATTTTTTTAGTTCTCGGCGGACACAACATCTTTGTTGGTATGTGGAGCTGAGGATCGAACCCAGGCCGCACTCATGCCAGGCGAGCGCGCTACCGCTTGAGCCACATCCCCAGGTCCATATTTTATTTATTTTTATGTGGTGCTAAGGATCAAATCCAGGGCCTTACACGTACTAGGCGAGTGCTCTACCACTGAGCCACAACCTCAGCCCCTCCTATTCTTTGTGGCAAGTATATTCCAAAAGATCCCCATTTCTTGCAACAGGATATATTAAAAGTGATGTTATCTTTGACCTTGCTACAATGCCTTTATTAATTTATTTAGCAAACACCAAGAACTTAACTGTGTGTCAGCTAGAAATTTTTTTAAAAAATGTGTAAGGCAGCTGGGTTCACTGTCACACACCTGTAATGTCTCAGCAAATTGGAAGGCTGAGGCAAGAGGATCATGAGTTTAAAGCCAGCCTCAGCAAAACAAAAACAAAAATAAAAAAGGGCTGGGGATGTAGCTCAGTGGTAAAATGCCCCTGGGTTCTATACCCAGTACTCCCCAACACCCAGCCAAAGAAGTTTAGTGAGGCCCTAAGTACCTCAGCAAGACCCTGTCTCTAAATAAAATGTAAAAAAGGACTAGATATGTGTCTCAGTGGTTAAGTACCCCTGGGTTTAATCCCTGGTACAAAAAAAAAAAAAGAAAAAAGAAAAAAAAGAAAGGCCAGATTCTTGTCCTTGGACTCCTATTTTTTTTTCTTCCTGGTACTGAGGATTGAACCCAGGGCTTAGTGCATGTGAGACAAGCAGTCTACCAACTGAGCTATATCCCCAGCCCCTACCTCGTGTTTGGCAGATGTCAGCAAGTGGACTACAGGGCATTTTGAGATGGGCGAAAGGGCACTATGCACTAGGTGTGGAGAGATGCAGGGGAGTGAGGGCTCTACTGCAGGGGCTGGTTAGGGGGACAATCAGAGAAGCCTTCATGGAGGAAATCACTGTTTTGGTCTGGATTTAGAAGGGTGAGATGTGGTCAAAGGTTGACATGGAGGACAAACAAGGTAAGCAGAAAGAATACTGTTGCTGAGATTTGATGACAATCAACAGCATGGCTTTCAGGAAAGGCAAGGACGGGGTGGGGTGTGGCTGGGGCATAAAAATGTTATAGATACTGGTAGGATATGAGCCTGGGGAGAGCCTTGATTAGAGAAGTAGACTTTGTTCTGCAGGTGACAGGGAGAATGAATGCCAGCGTAAGCTGGGAGAGGGAATCACATGGGAGCAGCTGATTTCCCAAGGCGGCTCAGGAAAGCAGGATGCATGACCAATAGATGATTGTGATAGTTCAGGGTAGAGTTCATGGGGTCATGCCTGGGATAGATTTGAGAGTTTCAGAAGTCTTATTTAGCAGGACTGGCTGACTGGCTGTGGACAGATGGAGAAAGGGACGCCAAGCTCATGTCAGCAGTGGCTGCCATGACTACCAGGTGCTTCCTCCACAGAAGGCACTTGTGTGCATCACCTCATTTAATCCCACATCAGCCCTGTGGGAGGGATTGCATTGTTGTCAGCAATTTTTTTTTGTGTGTGTGTACTGGGGATTGAACTCAGGGGCACTCGGCCACAGAGCCACATCCCCAGCCCTATTTTGTATTTTATTTAGAGACAGGGTCTCACTGAGTTGCTTAGTGCCTTGCCTTTGCTGAGGGTGGCTTTGAATTTTCAATCCTCCTGCCACAGCCTCCTGAGCCACTGGAACTACAGGCTTTGCACCACCATGCCCAGCTTGTCTGCATTTGGGGGGGGGCAGTTGGAGCCCAGGGTAGTCCATCCCAATGACCACCTAGTATATGGTGGTAGTAAGTGGTGGAGTTAGGATCTGAACTGGAGGAAATCAACGCCCTAGCTTCTCCATCATCCTGGATCACCAATTCTAAGTGGTTGGGAAGTGAAGCACCTACCCAGAAACCAGTTAACAAGTGGTGGATTGAGGCCTGAAACCTGCTAGAACCACTTACTATTCCAAAGAGTGCACAGTCAGGCTCCTATTTGCCATATCAGGCCATAGATGTATTGTGTTTGGCTCATATTTTTTAAAATATTCATTTATTTATTTTTGGTACCAGAGACTGAACCCAGGGGTACTTTTCCACTGAGTAACATCCTAATTCCTCTTTTTTTTCTTTTAATTTCAAGACAAGGCCTTGCTAAGTTGCTGAGACTGGCCTTGAATTTGTGATCCTCCTGCCTCAGCCTCCTGAGCTGGATTACAGGAATGTACCACTGCACTCAGCTCAAACAGTATTTTAATACCACTTTTAGAACTAATTTCTAACTTTTAAAAATGTGGAGATTCACATTAACAACTCAGTTTCTGGCTTTTCCTGGAAAGTGAGGAGATCTAAATACACTGGCACCATGCAGCCTCCAGACAGAGCTGCCTGTCCACGTCCTTCAGATGGGACCTGTGCTCCCTCATCTGCCTGAAATCCACCAGCCTACCTGGGGCCTCTACCCACCTCCACAGGCCCACAAGTGGGCTCCACCACAATGTGTGATGCTCAGCTGGGATTAGATGCCAGGCTGTCCTTTAATCCCTGTCAAGCCCTGGTCTTCATAGATGGCCACATGCCCTTTCCAAGTTTTAGGGAATATAAGGCAGAAACAACCACGGTTTTACTTTGTTTGCTTTTTACCTTCATGCTGTGGGAATTGAGAAAAACTCAATACCCACCCATGCTTGAGTGCCCTGGGCTGGAGGAGGGTTAAATGTGGTTCCTGCAGGACAAAGGTGAATGGTTGTAGTTCCTGAAACCAGCACAGATTAAAATGCCAACAAATAGCACTCAGAAAATGGCAAAAGTCATGGCCTATTATTAGTATGTAAAGTATGCTGTGATGTTTTTGTTTAATTTGTAAGGAATCATTTGCTTTGATTTTGAGCTATGTACTTTGGATGTGTTATAAGGAAGTTTTGAGGGGGATGTGTATGTGTGTATGTATGTTTGCCCACATGGGACAGTGCTTGTATATGTGGGGTCGGGGGGCCACAGCTTACATAGCTTTCTTATAGGTGCTCAGTTCCAGAACCGTTCTAACAGTTCTTCTTCCTTTACATGCACTGCACCTAGGCATTAAAATAAATATTTTAAACTAAGAAAAATAGTAACAGGATTTGAAACCAGATGGCAATTAGAAGAGACAGACAGAGAGACAGGAAAGAGGGAGAAAGAAAGAGAAAGTCCAGGAAATATTTCCTTTAGAAAGTTTTATGATTTATTAAAGATTGAAAACATGTTTCTGTACCATTAAGTTAAAATGTAAGGCTTTGACTGGCAAACAGGCATTTGTCAAAAATGTTTTGTCAATAATTATTTTAAGATATAACATATAATTATTTTAAGATATAAATTATTTTAAGATATCCCATGGCTGTGGTCAGTTTGGACAAATGACCAATCTGTAATCTGTAAACTGCCATCAGATGCAAGAAGTCCACCAACACTAGAGCTGCCCGGGTTTGACTCCTAGTCTGCTCTTTGCACTCAGCCTGACAACCTTCCCTCGTGCCTGGCTGCCTGATCCAGGTACTGGAGGAAAGTGAATGTTGATGCTGGCCATGATGTTTTCCAAGGCCACTGGGTACAATTCTGGGGTTGCCACTGAGTCTCAGAGTCTCATTGTTTTGCAAGGGTCACTGCTCTGTCACACCACACTGCCTCAACTTGTTAGAGGCAAGCTTTCCCCTGGGAACGAGAGTTAATCAAAAAGTTCCTGTTGCACATCAATTTGGTCCTGGGTGTAATTTCTACTCAGATTACATGGATCTTGTGAGGTCACGCTCTGCTGCTCCCTGGACTCTGACCGCTGCCTGGCACCTTCTAATTCCTCCTCAGAGACACCCTTCCCTGCCAAGAGCAGGCCTAGGGTGGGACCTAGACATGGACTGTGGCCAATTCTTCTGTTCTCGGATTGTTTCTTGAC